TATATATATATATATATGTCACATTGGGATTTAAACCTAAAATTGTGTATATTATCTAATTTACGCTATTAGATCAATTATAATGATAAATACAAGATTTATTATATAAAAAGGCAAAAAAATATTGAGTATTTACCTTTTTATAAATAAGTTTTTAATATTATTGATATTTAATACCTTCACAATAGAATGTCATTAGGAACACAGTAAAGATAATCTTTTTTCTAAAACAATTTTAACTATTTCTCAATATTAATATTCTTTTATTAATAACATTTAGCTCAATTGATTGAGTGAAGCATAAGTTATTGTAAATTCTTTAGTACTAAATTTGATTCTAATGGATAAAAAAAATAGAGTGGAAATGCATTATATAAAAAATGCTTATATATATATATATATAAACTTGGTAATTTTGATTTCTTAATAAAAAACCATTTTGTAAATATTTTAAGAGATTTTTATTATGAGTCTATATATTGATATGTATAATGTGAAAGGATTAAAAGGAGTTTATTAAATATTTTTAATCACTAAAAATTATTGAATAACTTTTGTGTCATTAACATGATTATAAATACCTTTTTTTACCATACATTCATAGACACACGATATATACTTCATATTTTAAAGAGGTTAAATTCTTGAAACAAGTCAGGTCACCATATATTCTGGGACTCTGGTAAATTAAATATTCTTGTACGCGTTATGCCATATGTTAAATATATCTGTTGATATGTAAAGTAACTGAAAATTGTCTTATGATTGCATTTCTAGGGGTTGTTCTAAGCCATCTTCTACTAAACCCTGCTACCTATACATAAACATATATCCTTCTCCTCAAATATAACTTTCTTAATTTCTTTCTCTCTCACACTCTTCCATGGCCTTAGCCTTAGGAAATCAAGGTCCACATGATATAACCTTCTTGTGGGAAGACCATTCATGGGATCCCACCAATTCTGATAACTCAAGTGAAAGTAAAGAGAAGGCCAAGCCACTAAACCAGCAGAAAGAAGAAAAAGATGAAACTCTCGTGAATAAGAAGCGAAATCAAGTCCAGCGTAGTATTACTAGTGGTGAAGGTAAAGATGAAAAGTGTCAATCTGATCATGAAGTGCATATATGGACTGAGAGAGAAAGGAGGAAGAAAATGAGGAACATGTTTGCTAATCTTCATGCTTTGCTTCCGCATATTCCTTCTAAGGTAAATATTTGGTTTAAAATGGTCTTGCTTTTAATGAGTTTGAAAGATTCTTATTCTTACATGAGTATGAGTATGAAAGGAATCAAATTATATGACCATATCAAATAACTTGATATTGTATCTCCTAAAATAGGTATCTTTGTGTAATCAATCACCTCTTTGCATTGTACCCAAATTTGTTTGAAAATAAATTTTTTCCAAATGGATTTAATTGCAAAACAAATTCGTAAAATATCAATGGTGGAGTTTTTGATAGATAAATCCATATCCATTTCTAAATTGAATGTTTAGTAAAATGATTGAAGGAACCATAAATGTTATTATTATTATTATTTTATTTCAATATATTGTGAGTGTGATACTTTTTTTTAATCTTTTTAATCAATTAAAAACCATTTTTGATAAAACTTTAAAAAACTACAAATACAATGAAGTGGAATTCTTTTATAGTAAAGACAAAATCATTATGGTCATCACTAGCACCATTTTCTACACACATACCCACTAACCCACCTCAAGACAACGACCTGAGTTAAGCTTAGGTGACACAATAATTTGTTTTATTAACATGCTTTGCTATTTGATCTTCCATAGGCAGATAAATCAACCGTTGTGGATGAAGCAGTGAGCTACATAAAAAATCTACAGCAAACCCTGGAAAAGCTAGAGAAACAGAAACAAGAAAGGGTCCAATATGTCTCCACTTTTGGGTGTGACTCATCTATGTTTGTTACTCATCAAGGATCTTCTAACAATCCCAATGCAATGATGGGAACTTCAAACAGTGCACTTTCATTCCCTGGGCAACAACAACCAATAGCTTTTGAAAAAACGTGGGCTGCTTCAAATATTGTCCTGAACATTTGTGGAGATGAGGCCCAATTCACCATTTGCGCGGCCCGTAAGCCAGGCCTTTTAACCTCCATTGCTTTTGTGCTAGACAAGTACAAAATAGAGGTCATATGTGCCAATATTTCGAGCATTGGAAATGGAAATGGATGCATGATTCAAGCCCATGTAAGTTTGGAACTCGATCCGCACCTTATCTTTTTCTTATGCATGTTTTGTCGATCTTAGTTAGGTAATAAATAAATTGTTTTTAATTCCAAGTTACCAGACTTTTGATTGGTTAGTTTCTATGGTCTGTCTAACTAGAAATACAATAAGTAGAAAGTTATCTTTGAAAATTAGAATAAGGTTACACATCAGAAATGCAGATACATTTTTTAATAAAATTTTTCTAATTTTGATTTCTTAACCATCGAAGATACTACTGATTAGCATTTTCATAATTTCTTATACAAGTTGGCCTCTAAATATATTAAACTCCCGAGCCTCTAATAATTAATTAGGTTTACTCCATAACTCTGGCATGAGAGAGATACATTAAATTACATTTTACTTACTAACATTAAACTCTCATATTTTATACAATGTAAATAATGAGATTTGAATATAAGACTTTGTGTCACATCAAAATTTAAATTTTAAATTGATTGAATTTGACTAATAATGTTTAAGAAAAGTAAAATTTATAAAAATAAAATAAAATATGAAATACTATATTTAGAAAGTGAAAGTAATTTTAAAAAAAAATTGTCATTCAAAAATTATTGCTTAAAATTTTAAATGTGTACAATTACATGAATATTTGTTGGATAAATATGAAACAAATTAATGGAAGGGAGGCTAAATGTTTTGTATTACAAAAATATTTTGGTAGTTTAAGAGTCAAACTAATTTTCACAGTAAATATTAATTAAGTGGTAGTAATAACTATGCATCAACCCAAAAATGAAAGGAAAATATATAAAATAAGATGTTGTGTTGGTATATATACATGCATGTTAAGTTTTCTACCTTCGTAGAGTAGATTTAAATCTTTAGGAGACAATGAAAGAACACCAAAATGTATATTATTTAATACTTACATGAGTAGTGCGAATATAAATATGGTTTAAACTCAATGGAATTGTTGGTCTTACAGGGAAAACGATCTTCAAATGAGTTCCTAGATGCAAATTCAGTGGAGGAAATTTATAAGCAAGTGGCAGGAGAGATTATGCTATGGATCGCATAAAATTTTGGATGATGAAAACTTATTGTTTTGTTTGATGTAAATTTTTTAATTTTCTTAAAACTATTAGTGAGCTTTCATGGCTTAACTTGATGGTTATGAAAGCAAACGGGTATATGCTTTAATCTTGGTGGTTTAAGGTTTAAACTGAATTTGAATGCTTATTATCAAAATATACTACAATAAAATAGATTTTTAGTGACATTTAATATGATTTTTAGTAGTATTTAATATGATTTTTAGTAGTAATAAAAATTATTACAAAATCTTTTAGCGGCATTTCCACAATAGTCATTGTATGCAGTGTCGCTAAAAAATTTAGAGGACATTATTCTGAATGCTGGTAAAAATTCTTATAATGGTCGGAAAAAGTGTATAACTTTTTGTGACATTTTTTATTTTCTACTCAATGTGAGACTTGTAAGATGAGGATTATCTTTTAATTATATATTTTTTAATTGTCTTATCTCCTAAATAATTATTTTATCAATAGTTGATGTGAGATTTGGATTTTTCTCAATACACCTCCTCAAGTTTAGAAACTATTGAGTTTCGTAATGGTGAGTAATTTGATATCAACTTAGAATAGTAAGTTATAGGTCTAACTTAACCCTACAAAACAAACTTGTAAGGTGAGAGTTATCATCCATTTATATACTTTTTAATTATCTTATTTCTTGTCAATGTGGGACTTAAGTTTTTTTAAATAAATAATTGTCGCTAATAGTAAATTTTGGTGTGATATAAATAATTTTTAGTGGCTATTATATATTAGTCATTAATATTTTTATTAAATAATAAAATAAAGATAATTAATTTATTACCATTAAATAATTATTGATAATAATCAATTTTGTTGTAGTGATAAATAAATAAAAACATGTGAATTTTTTATTGAATTTAAAGTATGTTATGATCTAAACATAACTTAAGATTAGGCATGGAATATATATATATGAAGAGGGATCTTTTTACTCAAAGAGTAAGTTTACCTAGACTTACTCCATTTAATAACTCATGTTCAACATTAAATTTTAACGATCCAACTGTTCAATTTAAAATTCTTAATGCATAGATCAAATCTGCAAATTTTTAGAAAATTTGAAAATCATTTGATACTTCATTTCATTAATTCAAATTGACAGATAATCATAGAATCATTTTATACATTGATTCAAATTAATGAAACGAAGTATCAAATAATTTTCAAATTTTCTAACAATTTACATATTTGATCTATGCATTAAGAACTTTAAATTGAACGGTTAGATCGTTGAAATTTGATATAGAACATGAGTTATTGAACAAAACTCATGAGTCTTGTATTCTTTTTGTTAAGTGCTTATTTTTCTTATATTACTTCGCCTTAAATAATGTATGTATTCGCCATTTCAGAATTCAGCGATGCAACATTAGGGCAGTGATGGGGTTAATGTTGTCCCTGCCCTCAAGCTTAGACTAATATTCTATGCCCTGAATGCTCTCATCACATGCATAACAACAATAAAATGACATTATTTATTGCTGATTTACATAAACTAAATGAAAATACTAATCCTTTACTTATTTTACAATATTTAATATTATTAAAAAAATTATAATTATGATAGTTTAATTCAAAATAATAAAAAAATTCAAATACATATTAATTGTAATAATGGCATTTTGATTTATACTATTATTATAGTATACATTTCTGAGAAACTATAACATGAAACAAACATTTCAATTATTCCTAGAAATAACAAAAAGATTCCCATCAAATTACAATTGTTTACCAAATATATTTTTTTTTTTTTAACTTTGTGACGAAACTCAAAACAAATGACGCCTAGTAATCGATCGATAGGCATGTTTTCTTAGTGTCTTTCATCTTGTCAATTTTTCCACGCAATTGATCTCGTAAACGCAGTTAATTAATCCCAAATGCAGCACAGCCTCAAGTGATTCAAAAGCAAGAAAGTTGTTCTGTTTTAACATTGGTTTGGAAAATCAAATTCATCTCAAGTTTTAAACCATAATCCAAACACACCACTACCCTGTATGAACACAGAAGCTGATCCTATGTTTGCGTTTGTATCATAAATTTAGTTCGGATTCACCTCGGAGTGTGCAGTAAACAGATGAAAAGAATCAACAAATAAAAGTATGATTACTCACATAATTCCTTAAACGTCGTCGAATTAGAGTGTATTTTCTCTCTTTTTAATTCGGCCAATTAAAATGCTAGGGTTTCGAAAACATGCTACAATCGAAATCAAACAAGGCAAATCTAACCGATTCAGGAACCAAACAAGGTGAATCAACAACACGAATCAAACACATTGCGAAAATATAACAAAAATAAACCGAAAAGTAGCAAAATCTAGGCTGAGGAGAGAATTAAAAGTTAACAATTAAGAAATGTAAACCGATGCAGAAGCAAAAAGAAGGCATATAGAATAGCTCAGAACCTGAGCTTGGTGAAGAACCACCGGTTCTTGCCGGTCTTGAAGCGGTCCTCGAGGCGCTTCTTGGTCTCCTTGAGGGCGGTGACCTTCTTATCCTTGGCGTGGAGGGCGTCGGGGGTGCTGGTAGTTGACCGGACGAAATTGGGTGTCTACAGCTGCCCCTCTTTACTTGTCCTTTGGAATAGTAATGTGTTGCTTTTCCAAAGGCAAGGAAAGATGTAGACATTTCGTCCGGGTCTTCTCGTCGTCTCTTTGGTGCTTCTGCATTGTTTCCATTGTGATAATGTGTCCCTTTATTTGTTGCTTGTTGAAGAGGGGGTTTTCAACAAATTGGGCTCTAAGAACACCACAACTTTCTCAATCCACACAATGGGATAAGCAACTTCGAAAAACATCTCCTCTAGTCTTAGTGATCAACAGCTCAGCCTTACGGCGTACACAACTCATATTCAACAACACAACTCAACTACTTTAAACAACATATTTAACACTTAGCACAACTCAGCTTAACAACATTAACAAATACAACACAACTCAGCATAACAACATTCATCTGCATAAGCATCATACAGCGCAACTTAACTTTACATCATACAACATAAACATCATACAACATAACTTAACTTTACATCATATAGCATTAACAACATTAATCAGCATAGTTATAAAAAAACACATTCGCACCTGGCGTAATAGGATTTGCGCCCGGCCTGGACCAACCAGAGAGCTCCAAAGCTCTTACGGGCCCGGCGTAATTCCAATTGTGCCTGGCACAATAAAAGACAGAGACTCCTAGGAGTCTCACAAGCCTAGCGTACCAAGCCCACGCTCGGCGCAAGCAAGGCAGAGGTCTCATGCCCGACGCAATTCCAATTGCTCCCGACGCCACCCCTGGCAAAGACCCCCAGGGAGTCTCAACACTCGGCGAGATCTAATCACACCCGGTGCCACACCAGTAACCCAACTTCTTGAGTCTCTGTCTGATATCACGCCCAGCACGATTCTTTCACGCCCGGCGTGAGCCATCCAGGGACTTCCATTCCCAAGCTCGCCCGGCGCAACCAACCCTGCGCCTGGCGTGCTTGATCAATGGAACTCTCTAATGGTTACACGCCCGACGCCAAGAACTACGCCCAACGCAATTACAAACAACAACCCTCAAACTTCAAAAATTTCACCCAAAACCTGAAAATTCAAACAACTCAAACACATGCAATCCATCAAATGAACCACATTTTCAGCATACAACTCAAAAATCAACTCATTTTCAACATGCAACCATCAAACACCTAAAAATCCCCATTTTCTAAAAACCCCGAAAACGCAATCTCGTCAAATTCGACCATCATTTTTCAAAAATCAAACAAAATGTGAGTTTCTAAACTCACTTCCAAACAATCAGCACGAATCTAGCTTCCCTTACCTCGAAGAAGAAGAATCCGAGCTCCAGGGAAGCGAAAAGGAAGAAGAAGAGGAAAAATCCACGACTTTGCGTTTGAAAGAAATAGAGAAGGGTTGATGAACCACCTTGGTGCTCACTGCTTCAGCCTTAGAGAAAGGAAATCAAAATCAGATTGAGAGGCTTGAGAGAATAAGGGAAATGAGGGGAAAAGAGAAATGACAAAAGAGAGTGAGAGAGAGAGGCTGCAGGTCTCACATCTGCCACAATATTAGTTTTACTTCTATGATCCTCTCCAAAGATCAAACACCTAAGCATAAGTTCACTAGGTATACATACCAGATTTCTAATTTCACCATTCCATCTACACCCAAGTCAAACTCTTATCCATCACCTTATCCTATAGCCTCACGTTTTACCACCAAAAATGAATAATCTAAATGTGCTTTTCCAATTTCCTTTGACAATCCATTAGTTACTCGAGTCATACCTAGTTTCACACTACTAGGAGTAATTTCATAAGTCAAACTTAAATCCTTAGACCGAGCCAAAAGGTCTATCTCTCTAATCTTAAAGGAAGTTAACTTAGAGGCTTCCTACTCAAAGCATCGACCACTACATTCACTTTACCCAAATAACAAATAAGATCAAAATCTTATTCCTTAAGAAATTCTAACTATCTCTTTTGTCTCATATTCAACTCCTTTGGTCAAAAGATATTGAGGACCGCTTCAAGACCGGCAAGAACCGGTGGTTCTTCACCAAGCTCAGGTTCTGAGCTATTCTATATGCCTTCTTTTTGCTTCTGCATCGGTTTACATTTCTTAATTGTTAACTTTTAATTCTCTCAGCTTCAGTGGCTCCTTGACTATCTAATCGATGTGTGGTCAAGCGTCTCTAACCTCTGTTTGAGGACATCTCGGCGTTCCCTCTGTGAGGATTCACTGTGCATTTTCCGTGTATCTTTTCAGTACCATTTTAATGCCATAAGGGTCAAGAGAAAAGAAGGAAGGAATGTTATATTATTATTTTGTTTTTTTTTTCAAAAGGGTTGTTAGAAGGAATTTTTCAAAAAGGGTTTTTTAGAAGAAGGGTTGGCTAAGGTAGGCTTTAGTGTTTAGGGTTATCAAACAAAACGTATTGTTTGGTTCCTGAATCGGTTAGATTTGCCTTGTTTGATTTCGATTGTAGCATGTTTTCGAAACCCTAGCATTTTAATTGGCCGAATTAAAAAGAGAGAAAATACACTCTAATTAATCTGTTCAGTATTTCAGTTACATTTTGAGAAACATTGTTTGTGAATGGGTTTAGAGAAAAA